GGACTCGATCCAGGGACTCCAGGATCATGACCTGAGCCGAAGGCAGTCGCTTAACCAACTGAGCCACCCAGGCGCCCCAGAAGTCAGAATTCTTATCCAATGGAATGTACTAAATAGCTTGGTATATACCTAGCTCTAAGTTAAATATTCTGTTTGCCTCAATATTATCTTAATAATGATGAAATATTTGGTGTATGTTAAGATACTCTACTAAAAGTTGATTTTTATATAGCATGATTTGGAAACTGTAATCCTATATTAAACAACAAACCAAGCTTAATTTTGTCAGGCTTTATGTATGCATAATCTCATTTGAGCTTTTTGGCAACTGTAAGGAAGTGTTCCTCCCCTTTTTATGGATTAAGGAAACTGAGGCTTTGAGGATTTGAATCACATAGTTACTGTAACATAATATATCTTCAGACTTAGGCCTTCTGACCCCAAAGCCAGTGCTCTTGGATATTTCCAGAGTTAGTTTTGTTTTATTAATTTGCTGACTATAAGACAGGAGGAAGGAAAAGCTACTGTAGCTACTGATCTGTTGTGTTGTAACCCTTTACCTAAAGGATATTTTTAATCATTTTAAATCCTTAGATAATAATGTTGGAGATGGCCCTTGTTCCTCTGCTTATTGTGTTTCCCTGGTTTCTATGTAGAGATTGCTAAAATTGAGTTTTGACATAAGGGAAGAAAGTATTTGCTGAGTTCAAGGCTCATGTACCTCATCCTTTAAGCTTCAACGATTTTCATAGCTTAGTTTTGAGGTGTAGTATATATGTTTTTCCTCTCGGTTACAGTTACCCTACAAAGATAGTATCTTACCAAAGCAGGTCAGTGTATGTCACATTTGAGTCACTCTGTGATGTACTACTTTCATGTACTTAGAAATTAATAGGATGGGTTATTTAGTATATAAAGTCAGGAGGAAGAGGATATGTTTTGTTCATTGGTTTTGAAAAATGTCCACAACATGTGCCCTCCTTAATAAAAAGAAAAATGGGGCGCCTGGGTGGCTCAGTTGGTTGGGCGACTGCCTTCGGCTCAGGTCAAGATCCTGGAGTCCCGGGATCGAGTCCCGCATCGGGCTCCCCCTGCTCGG